TTGAACAGATTGTTGACTCTTCAATCAAGAATGAGATTGATCCTAGCTCATTAAGAAAATTTAGTGAGACAGCAGAGAAATGCTTGCAAGATGATGCTAATGATAGGCCTACAATGGGTGATGTGCTGTGGGACTTGGAGTATGCATTCCAGCTCCAGCAAACAGCAAAGCATAGAGAACCCCATGAAGACAGCACAGCCAATGCTTCATCAGCATTTGTATTGCCAAATGTTCAGCGTTTTCCTTCAGTTAGCTCCACGATTAACATAGATGAACTGGCTCTTCTAGGAGCCGATGAATTAGATACAACAGAAGTTGAAGTTTTCTCCCAATTGAGAGTTGGTGATGCCCGATAAATTTGTTCAGTTTGTAAGGTATATTAGTTAACCTTGTTTAAGTTTCTTTAGGCTGTAAAAGCTAAGTTAGGTATGCCTTGTTAATTTTAGTCCTATCTTTGATTATTGTACTACAACTGCTTTCCCATCTTTAAGATGCGATAATAGTATTAATTGTTCATAAACAGAAGCAGCTAACAAATTCTATGATAGTTAAACTGCTGTTGATTGGGAGTTTCACCTTGTTACCCCAGAGGAGTGTCTTAGTTGGGATCATACATGAGTCCCTGCTAAATTCTATACTTTTCCCTGAGACTATCCAGCCATGCTCTTAGCCTAAACCCTGGGCAGTAGGATCATGATACAAAACAATTCAAATTGAAGGAGACATAAACTCGTGATTGATGGTGTTATGAAAATATTATGGATAGATATATCTCAAAAACCTCATGTCTCATTGAATCCTGGAACTCAATCATTTATTTATCAGGGATTACCTTTTAAGATGTGTGTTTCTTTTATTCAATTTCATAATCGTTGGAAATATACATTTGTCTAGGCTACAAACATACACAACTGATGATATATATCAATTAATAAGTAGCTTTTTTTGGCCAACACTTGACAAGCAGCTACAAGAAGAATAGTTCTTCTTGCAAACAATCTTCTTTAGCAGCATCTCATGTTGATGTAGTTGTCCATGTTGTTGACCTCATAATTATTATTGTCCCTAGACCTAGAATAGCTTCAGTAATGCTTTACTCTTGTTATGTTTTCCTATTTGGATCGGTGCACTAGATATTAAGTTATATCAGGTTTGGTAAGAATTTAAATTAAGTCGTACCTTGAGGCCCAAAACCTTGTGGAATAAGGAAGGGTTTTGAGGCCTATTAAGGGTCCTAATTATTTTCTTTTGTGTGTGAACCGATTAAGTGGGCTTGGAAGATTAGTCAAATCGGCCCTCGGTGATGATTAGAGACGACTTGATAGCCCTATATAAGCTTAAGGCCCTGCTCTCATCAGACACGTTCTCTAAACCTATTCTCATCATAAAGAGAGAGCTAAAACAGATCCTATATAAGCTTAAGGCCCTGCTCTCATCAGACACGTTCTCTAAACCTATTCTCATCATAAAGAGAGAGCTGAAACAGATTATGAGAGAGAGCAGAAGTCTTGAGCCGTTCCTGTTCTTGCTAGGATTGCTGCTGCTACGGATTGGATGAGTTCAGAGGTTGTATACTCAAGGAAGATGGCTCCAGGTATGTCCCTATGTCTTTATACGTATTCCATATTTGTGTGAAAGATCCAGATTGTATATTAAAGAAATCTAACAATTGGTATTAGAGCTTTTGGTTGTTCACACATATCTGTAATCGTTGTTCAAGCATGCCTAATCCGTTTACATATCTGGTTATGTTGTATGAATTTTGGTTATGTTTAATTTTTTGAAGATTGATTAAACATGTTTTCTGAAATATCAAGAGTTTTAAAGAATCAGGAAAAAACTTGTTTTGATTTGTTTTTTCTTTTTTTTAAAAAACTTTAAACGCGTTTTTGAATTCTATAAGTTAGGTTTTTCCCTATTCGGAAAGGTATTTTGCGTCAAAAACGGACACCAAAAACCCCTAAAATACTGTTCACGGTTGTTTCACTATTCACTGCACTTTTAGGGTTTTCCTTATTGAACTGAAAATACTGTTCACGGTTGTTTCACTATTCACTACACTTTTAGGGTTTTCCTTATTGAACTATGTTTTGTTTGGTTATTTTTCTGAGCTAGATATATGTTTGCTTTTGTTTTGAGAATCAACAAACTTTTCATAACAAAATCAAACCTAAAAACTCAAAACCTAAAGAAATAACCGAAAATTGCATCATACATAAATTGCTTGGTAAGTTTCTTCAACAAATAGAATCTATCCTGTAATTTATTTGTGATGGCACAAGATAACATGTAATTTGTGTAAGCTATAAGTAATCTCTTGCCACAAAGGTGTGATACTTAATTAAGGACGCTTGCATGTATTATTTGTTAGTTTTGTGAATCAAGTTAAACTGTTTTCTCTTAACAAATTGAGAATCGGTTTCTGGGAAAGTAATATGTAATATGCTTTCGTTTGCAAATCCTTACAGTTATGAACACTCCTTCAATCAATTTCTCGCAAATTGAAACTCTCACCGGATCGAATTTCAAACGATGGAAGTTCGATCTTGATATTGCACTAGGCATGAGTGATATCGATTATGCTATCACTCAAGACGAGCCGACCAAACCCATTGCGAATTCCCCTGCTGAAGTTAAAAGGGTGCATGAAGCTTGGAGGATGGCGAATAAGGTTTGTCTGTTGGTTATGAAGAAGACTATGACAGAAGCTCTTTTTGGTGGAGTTCTAGAAACAGACAGTGCCAAGGAGTTTATGGATTTCATTTAAACGAAATTTAAGGAATCTGGTAAGGCTTAAATGAAGCACCTCATGTCTAGGCTGGCTAATACGAAGTATGAAGAGGAGGCAGCGTGAGAGAACATCTCATGGGACTCATGGATATTGCTGCTAAATTGAGCAAGTTGAAAGTGCCTATTGCCCCAAATTATCTAGTGCATATTGCGCTGGAATCCCTACCTTTTGATCAGATGAAATCCACCTACAACACCCTGAAGGAAGATTGGACAATGGATGACCTGATTACAATTGTTGTTCTTGAGGAAAATAGGACAAAGGCTCGTAGAGGTGTGGTTAATGTGGTTACTGCCAAGAAGTATGAGGATAAGGGTGCTGCAAAGTGGGGAATAAAGAAGCAGAGTTAGTTTCAAAAAAAACAAGCCTCTTGGCATGACCCCTACCACTGAATTTAAGTGTTTTTTCTGCCAAAAGGAAGGTCATATGAAGAAGAACTGCAACAACTACAAGAAGTGGTTTGAGAAGAACAAGAACAAAGGTAATAAAGAATTAGCCTTAGTGAGTTTTGAGTCTAATTTAGTGGATCTTCCTTCTAATTCTTGGTGGTTAGATACGGGTGCCTCGATTCATATAGCTCATAATGTGCAGGAATTCACAAGAAGGAGGGAACCAAGAAAGCATGAAGTTAAAGTGTTCGTGGGGAATGGAGAGCAAGTAGATGGGAAAGCCATTGGAGTAGTGCAGCTTAAATTGGATTATGGTTTTATTTTAGAGTTGGATGATGTAGTTTTAGTACCCTGAATGAAGAGGAATTTGATTTCTGTTTCAAGATTATCAAGACTTGGTTTTGTTTTTCAATTCAATAAAGATGGCTTTACATTATCTCCATGTCATTATACGTATTACATATTTGTGTGAAAGATCTAGATTGTATATTAAAGAAATCTAACAACTCTCCCATTGGAAACTAGTAGGCAAATCCTGCATCTTTTCCCTGGAAAAGTTACACTTCCAAATGATAGGCCGAAGTACCACCCTGGAGGAATTACTATGAAAGGTATTACTATTAGGACAAAAAGAATTGATAGATAATAGCAACTGTATATGGTCCATCCATGAAAGGTAATTGGCTGGTTGGCAGCTCTGTTTTACTTTGATTTTGGATTTATGACTACAAGCTTGGGTTCAAAGTTGAAAAGTTGGGGAGGAAATGATTATGAAAGGGTGTATGAATGGCTCCTGGTCTGAAGATACCTTTTGAGGAACTCTTCAAAGTATCAAAGTGGCTGTAAAGCAATGTGAACCAGGCATGAGCCAGGTTTCTTTGATTGGTTATATATTGTGATGAAGGCTCTGACTCAGAGAGATCATCTATGTGATTCAAATAGCACTTCTAAATTATCATAAATGCTTTCCATATTATCGGTTCAGCAGAGAAATAACGCAGAAAAAGTTTGTAGTTTATCATTTATTAAAACACAAAAAGAAAAAATGGTTGTCAGGTGGGACACATCAACAATAGCACTTCTAAATTATCATAAATGCTTTCCATATTATCGGTTCAGCAGAGAAATAACGCAGAAAAAGTTTGTAGTTTATCATTTATTAAAACACAAAAAGAAAAAATGGTTGTCAAGTGGGACACATCAACACGAGCGCGATCAAAATTGATGATAGAACCATTTGTCCTAATGAACTACGGAAATCATTTTTTAAATTGAGGAACTCAAATACAAATAAGTCTAAATTCATAAAATAATAAAATGATTAACCCAAAAGGAAATAATGCAAAAAGTTGTTGTCGGGTGGACCAGTCTCTCATGGTGCCTTTCACATCCAATGCAAAACACGAGCGCCATCAAACTTTTTCTTAGTGGAAGAAACTTTAGTCAATTACATGGTTCACTTTAACTAGAGAAAACTAAGATACCCAAAATGTCCTTTGTTGTATTTGCTTAGTCTATGAAATATAAGGGATATTTACAGAAATTCCACCCTACTTTCGCTTGGAATTTTCTATTTTCCAATCCAATGTGCATGGTTGATATTAGTAGAATTAAAGCATCCATCTTAAAATCAATTGGCTTTAATTGCCTGACGTGGGATTCTCTCAACAAACATTTATCAACTTTAAAAGTCCGCAACTTTTCCTATTCCAAGTCTTTGTCTTGCATAATTTCCAAAATCATTCAGCTCTAAATTCCATTCCCAGATGAGCATTGCTTTGTCTAAGAATTAGCAAAATCCAGTGACTCCATTATCTGTCATGGAAAATCTTCATAACTGTAGAACCCTTGTCCCCATGTTTTCTCTGCTTGCTCTTCTCCTCCACTTATCATCCTTTCACTCTCTGTCTCTAGCTTATGACCTCCCAGATAAGAATTTCATCAATTGTGGATCAGATGCTGCTATAAACTTAACTAGCAGGACGTTCATTGCAGATGGTTCCTTCTCCTCACAGAAAAGCAAGGCTGTCAAAGCCAGCAACCAGCTTCCAGATAATATATCAACTCTCTACCAAACAGCAAGAATTTTCAGCCAGCAATCCTACTATAAGTTCGAGATCAGTGAAAACGGTACTTATCTTGTACGCCTGCATTTCTTGGCTTTCTCCTCCTCGGTTAATCTCTCCACAGCTCTTTTTGATGTTCTGGCTTTTCCTAATGTTTCAAATTCTGGGTTCAAACTGTTGAGCAATTTCACTGCTAAGAATAGTAGCAACTCTCCTTTGATAAAGGAGTTCTTCCTTGGGATTGATCCTGGCACATTTAAAATATATTTTGTTCCTCAAGCATCATCTTTTGCATTTGTAAATGCCATTGAAGTCTTCCTTGCTCCTGCAAGTTTCAGCCCTGAGAATTACAACAGTAGTCTTCCTTCAGTTCTACATACAATTTACAGGGTGAATGTTGGAGGCCAGGAAGTCACACCAGATATTGACAGAATATGGAGGAACTGGGAACAAGATGATAGTTATCTGTCTGATCCAAACTCTGCCAAGGAAATCCCCTACTACCCAAATAGGCCTAGTTATTACAATGGAGAGCATAGTGATCCAGTCACTCATTTCATTGCCGCTAATGATTTTATTGCCCCGGATTCTGTTTACCGAACTGCCAAAGAGATGAATATTACTCCTAGCAGGCCATTCAATTCCTTCAACATAACCTGGTCTTTTAATGCGAGAAGGAACGCTAGGCACCTTGTCCGGGTTCACTTTTGTGACATTATTGGTCAACCTGGTAATATAGTATTTTATTTGTACTCAAATGGCAACTTCAGTAAGAAGGTTGGGGAATATGAGTCCTTTTTCTCAACAGAGTCGGCTACTCCTTTCTACTATGATTTTGTGGTGAGTTCTAATGAGTCTCAACTCATTAGCATCAGCGTAGGCGCT